ATAAAGGACACAAACACAGAGGGTGTTGGTTTTTTTAACTCAAACTAAAAACACGCTTAAAACATTACCACTCTTGCAGTATTTTGTTTGCTTGTTTATGTTTACAGTTATATCCTATAGGACAAAAAAGGGAAAGAACTTGAACCTAAAACCTAGAATTCAGAACCTAAAAAGGTTAGTCAAGAATAGAAAAGGGCCAACTCTAAAAATCTAATTCTAAAACATACAAAAATATACATGTATTTATTAAACACAAATTAAAATAACACACAAGGGCCCATTCATACCTCATATACAAATATAAAAATACAAAGGCTGATGAAATAGACCCAACACGTTTCGGCCTTCACAGGCCTTCCTCAGAGGTCTAATGCAAATAGAACATATTGGCTAAAAATATATACAATCAAACATATACAAAATATGAAATAAAGACCAGAAAACAATTGTTCCAAAGTTTAACCACTGGGCAAAAATACAAATGAAACCTCCAGTGCAATCACATGTCCAGTAGTACTTCTCTCTGGTCAACTATATATTCTCCTGAGATTGTATAGCCAAATGTTCCCAATGAAATATTCCTTAAGTTAAAAGCAGTGTTGCTCAAAAAAGTGTTGGACCTATATAGTAGATTCAGGATTATACAATCCTTAAAGGATGATGTTTGTTTGTTTATGTTTACATTTCTATCCTGCCGTTCCTGCCATTAACACTGTCCGATAACTGACACCTCTCGCTCTGAATTATTGCATCAAAATGACTGTGCCGTTGCAATCTTGAGTATGCTGTTCAGGTGTGTATCGGTAAGCTGCAAACCTACGATGACACAGCAGCAGCAGAACTGGAAGAATAGCCGAAGACAGCCAGTTCCACTGCGGGCCTGATGAAAGTCCTCTGGGGGCCTGATCCGGCCCCGGGGCCGCATGTTTGACACCAGTGTTCCCTCTAAGCTGAGTTAGTGTGAGCTAGCTCACAGTTTTTTAGCCTCCAGCTCACACATTTTTGTCTTAGCTCAGGAAGGAGGGCTCCAGAGCAAACTAATTTATGCAGCAGCCCAATCACTCGCTCACAACCTTAATGCCAGTAGCTCACAAAGTAGAATTTTTGCTCACAAGACTCCACAGCTTAGAGGGAACATTGTTTGACACCCCTGGTTTAAGTCATCAAAATGTTGGGCAACGGACTAAAAAAAAAATAGGCAGTTAAGACGGTTGCTCTGGGTATTGGTTCAGGACTGGGAAGTCCAGACGGAGTTAGAGAAAAGAGCTGTGAATAATAGAGAAAGCAGTGAACAGCAATAGAAAATACATGTGTATTAAGTGCTGTCAATTCGATTCTGACTTATGGCAACCCCGTGAATCAATGTCCTCCAAAACCTGCTATTGTTAACAGTCTTGCTCAGGTCTTGCAAACTGATGGCCCCTGGCTGCCTGGATGGAGCCAATCCATCTCATCTTGTGCCCTCCTTTTTCTTCCGATTGCCTTCAAATAGCATTGTTGTCTTTTCCTATGACCTTTGTCTTCCCATGACCAAAGCATGATAGCCTCAGTTGAGTCATTTTGGCCTCTAGGGAGAATTCAGGCTCGCTTTGATCTTAAACGTAAGAACATCAGAAGAGCCCTGTTGGATCCATCTAGTCCAGCATCCCATCTCACGCAGTGGCCAACCAGGTCTCCTGGATGGCCAACAACGGGCACGGAGGCTGAGGCCTACATAAGGAAATCAGAAGAGCCCTGCTGGATCAGACCAGGGGTCCATCTAATCCAGCATCCTGTCTCACACAGTGGCCAACCAGCTCCTCTGGAGGGCAAACAACAGGGCAGAGAGGTCGAGACCTTCATAAGAACATCAGAAGAGCCCTGCTGGATCAGACCAGGGGTCCATCTAATCCAGCATCCTGTCTCACACAGTGGCCAACCAGCTCCTCTGGAGAGCCAACAACAGGGCAGAGAGGTCAAGACCTTCATAAGAACATCAGAAGAGCCCTGCAGAATCAGACCAGTGGTCCATCTAGTCCAGCATCCTGTCTCACACAGTGGCCAACCAGCTCCTCTGGAGAGCCAACAACAGGGCAGAGAGGCCGAGGTCTACATTGGGACTTAAGAAGTGCTCTGTTGGATCAGATCAATAGTCCATCTAGTCTAGCTTCCTGTCACACATGGTGGTTAAGTTGCAATGTGAACCCTAATGGTTGTGTGAGTGTATATGAGTATGGTTGTGTGAGTGTATATGAGTATGCTTGTAGATCACCGAATGATTGCACCTTAATTTCGTTGTACTATGTACAATGACAATAAAGTATATTATTATTATTATTATTACACACAGTGGCCAACCAGTTCCTTTGGTGGGCTAACAACATGGTATAGAGGTCGAGGCCTACATAAGAACATCAGAAGAGCCCTGCTGGATCAGACCAGTGGCCCTTCTAGTCCAGCCTCCTGTCTCACACAGGGCCCAGCCACTTCCTCTGGAGGTCCAGCAACAGGGCAGAGAGGCCGAGGCCTTCATAAGAACATCAGAAGAGCCCTGCTGGAACAGACCAGTGAGGGCCCATCTAGTCCAGCATCCTGTCTCACACAGGGGCCAGCCAGTTCCTCTGGAGGGCCAAGAACAGGGCAGAGAGGCCGAGGCCTTCCCCTGATGTTGCCTCCTGGCTCTGGGATTCAGAGGTTTAGGTTTCACCAAGGCTAGTGGCCATTGATCAACTTATCTGGAGGGGGGGGCTCAAAAAAAGGTAAAAATAGCCCCCATTAATCTTTGGAAGGCTTTGAGGATCCACTGCTGGGACTTAGTGCCCTGGACCACCAAAAGAAGGAAAAAAGCAAATGTTTGTTCTCTCCCCCCCCCCACCCCGCAGTAGCCCTACAAGTAAGACTCCCATGATGTGCAAGACAGAATTTATTTCACTGCTGGCCTGCCAATGCCTGGCAGATTTCAGAGGGAGCCGTTCCAACCACCAGGCGCCTTGGCCCGGAATGATACAATGACAACCGTCCAGAAACACCATCAGTAAACTTGGGGGGCCAATTCCAACGGCTTGGCCTCCGGGTGGATTTCAGCGGGCTCACTGCCGGAGATGACAGAATGGGAAAAAGGTGGGCCCTGATTTGCCCCAGAAGAGCTGACAATTGTCAAGGTCAAGATCAGCAGGGGAACCCCCCCCCCAACTCTAATACATGGGGAATCTTGGAGTTCAAACCCAGCAAGGTTAAATCCGGTTAACCCCTGCCTCTCCCGAGAACACCGTTGTTTGCAATCCCCGCGTCTGGTGGGCGGATAAAGGCCCGAATGGCCCTGCTCTGGATCTCTCTAGGGCAAATGTCGGATTCCGTTAAGGGCAAGAGAATGGGCGACTTGTGACCAGCGTTCCCTCTAAGCTGAGTTAGTGTGAGCTGGCTCACAGGTTTTTAGCGTCCGTCTCACACATTTTTTGTCTTAGGTCTGGCAGGATGGCTCCAGAGCAAGCTAATTTATGCAGCAGCCAAATGACTTGCTCACAACTTTAACGCCGGTCGCTCACAAAGTGGAATTTTTGCTCACAGGACTCCACAGCTTAGAGGGAGCCTTGCTCCTGACCCACCAGCTGCCTTCCGTTCATTTCAAGGAAGCTTTTGCAACAAAACTTCTTGCAGGATCGTAACCCCAGATCAGTTTGTTGGGGTGTGTGTGTTAATGTATTACAAGATACCACTGGGGGTATCTTGTAATACCCGCTGACCCCAGAAAAGGAAGCATCGGCTTCGCAAACCAGAACTCAACCTTCTTCTCCGAAGGTTCGACAAAGGTCAATATTTATTCTCCCCTGCGCCTGACCTGGGAAATCAGACAGGGGAGGGGACGTCTTCTCTCCCCCCCCCCTGAATCCAGCCCCTCTGCTAATTCTCTGGGTCTTAAACCACCGTGGGTTTTGCACCAAGACAAAGGAACCCAAGAGAAAAGGGGGGGGAGAGGTGGAGATAGATTCCCCCCCTTCTCCCCCCTCTTCCTCAGACACGTGTCTCCATTGTTCTGCTTTTGGCTGGACACGCAGGGGGGGGGGAGGCAAGAGTTAATCTACCTTGGGGTGGAGAGAGAGAGAGAAAAGCAATTTTGCTTCAGAGGAGGAGGAAATTGGGGGTGGGGAGAGAAGGGTTAGGGGGATTCCCTGCATGGATAGGAATTTTGCATCTTGCATTGGAAAAGGGGAGGGGGAGAGGAGGGGGAGGGGAGGGGAGCCGTTCCAAAAGAGGCCTACGGTGAGGTTGATGGGGGGGGAGGAAAAGATCTAGAATCCGTCCCCCCCCCCTTGGCTGGCTTGCCCTTTTCTCCCCACCCAATCCTTTTCACATGGAGCGGGGGTGGGGAGGGGGGCGCCTGCAGAGAAAACTTCTCAAGCCAGGGTCTCCCCCACCCCCACCCATCTCCATCCCGTACACTTTGTCACGCCAACAAAATCTCCTCGTGTTGAAACCGGCTGGCACTTCTGGGTGATATATTTGTGATGTGTGTGTGTGGGGGGGGGGCACGGAAACGTGTTGATAGGCTCAGACCCCCGCGGGCTGGCTCTCTCCAAATCGTGCGCGTCGCGCAGCGTTAACCAGATGGGCCACGGAACCTCCCCTCCCTCCAACCCGCCCCCCTCGCCCGTCCTGCCAAACCGATTCCTCTTGTCTGCTTCCCCCCCCTCCACTCTCACTTTCTCTCTCTCTCTCTCTCCCTGCCATCGTCCCAACCCCCTT